GGAATGCCTTCCCCCCCCAGTGCTCTCTACCTGTTTGTCCTTATCTTACCTAACTTTAAAGGCATAACTCTAATGTTTCCCCTTTTTAGGAATGCTTCTTCATCTCCAAAATAAAATTGAGAAATATCACTCTATCTGAATTCTCTTAAATCTTTATTATTTTACTAACTAGAACAGAACTATATGATTTGGTTCCCTTTTTCAAAGTAGCAACTCTAACTTGCTTTTTAAATATAAGTTATTGTCGCCCTAACTGGTTTGACTCAGTGGGTAGAGCGTCGGCCTGCAGACTCAAGGGTCCCAGGTTCGATTCCGATCAAGGGCATGTACCTTGGTTGCAGGCACATCCCCAGGAGGAAGTGTGTAGGAAGCAGCTGATCGATGTTTCTAACTCTCTATCCCTCTCCTTTCCTCTCTGTAAAAATCAATATAAAACATATTTTAAAAAAAAAAATTTTATTTTTTTATTTTCTTACATATTTAAGGTTATTTTATACCATGTTTATGTTCTGATATAGATATTTAATATATTATTTTGTAAACTAATAAAGGTATTTAGAGCAATGTTTTTTCTCAAGTACTGCTTTGACAGCTCCCTGTAATCTTGTTATATTGTTATTTATATTCTTATTTAACAATAACAAAGAGCATTTGCTGTTTAGATTTCAAACATGTCTCAAACATTACATTTTACACATCAGTGTAAATTAGATATTACCTCTGTATAAAATTCTTCCTTCAATTCACTTTGGCGGGAAGTCTAAAATTCAGGCATCTGTCCTGTTCAGGCCCTCGAACTACCATAAGAAGTTATCAGTTTTACTCTCTGCTTGATTTTCCATGCATATGAATCTGGTATACTAAACAATGTAGAGATTTCTGCCCTCCAGGTTTTGGTTAGAGAAAATAAACCCTCAATTGTTAAATTCAAAACCTTAATTTTCAAAAAGGTTACCTAATGGAGGTATGGTCTGTCCATTTCTCTCCCTATCTAGTCTACATTTTATCCTCAGCCCAATCCAGATCATTGCAGAGTTTTGTACTAAGGCTGCATTGTACCCTGAATAGAGTTGTCTTTTCCGACCTACACTTTGATACCATGCTTTAACATACATCAAGAAATATGTAAGAAATTTCTTGTAAAAAACATTTATCTTAAAGTCATCTATATATATAAAAGCCTAAGCAACTGTTACGACTGAACGACTGGAATCACCTGTCATCCAGTCCCTATGACGTGCACTGACCACCAGGGGGCAGACGCTCAACACAGGAGCTGCACCCTGGTGGTCAGTGCACTCCCACAGCGGGAGTGCCACTCAGCCAGAAGCCGGGCTCATGGCTGGTGAGTGCAGCGGCACTGGCCGGAGTCTCTCCTGACTCCATAGCAGCGCTACTGAGTGGTGGTGGCAGGCACAGCAGGCTGGGATGAGCACAAGCAGCGTGGCACCCAGCCCCAGCTCCTCCCTGGCCGCCTGCCACTTGGCACACCGCTACATCCTTCAGGGGATGTCTGGTTGCCGGTTTAGACCCAATCCCTGCAGGTCTGGCCTAAACCGGCAGTCAGACATCCCCTGAGGGGTCCTGGATTGCAAGAGGGCAGAGGCCAGGCTGAAGGATCTCCCCACCCCGTGCATGAATTCATGCACTGGGCCTCTAGTTATTGTATAATATTGCTGAGGCTATTGTCCACACAATACTCCCCAGAAAAGATCTTTTCCTCTAATTCAGTACCAAGTAAAACATTATTGATTAAATCCTTCCTTTCTCTGGTTACTGCGTTGGTCAGTGGCAATTATGTGGCTCATCAATCATAGATGACCTTGTGATATCCATTTTTGGTTCTGACTCTACTTCTAGTTCCTTCTCAATTTTTTATCACCATCTCCCTCACTCCCTACTGCACACACACATTCCCATGTTCATTTTGTTTGTGTGTGTGTATCTATAACTACTCAGATTCTCTTTTGCAGTGTGGGTGATATAAATACAAAGTTGGATTGGATATATTTTTGATATGTTTATATCTTTTTTCCAATATATCAATTTTTTAAATTAATTTGTAAAGACCTTATTGAGAGACTGTGTATTATAGTGATTAAG